GAGGGCAGCAGCAGGAGTAGATGGTAGTGTTTGCTTCACCCTTAGAGCTGTCTTTCATTATTTTGCAGTTGTCCCCCTCCCCTGTGCGCCCCCAGACCTCTGCCCCTGAACTCATCGTATCTTTCTATCTTGGGATCAGGGGAAGACTAAGCTGCCCAGAGCTGGAAAGGGAGTATTAGGGGAAAGACAGCTATGGATATGGAGATGAAAAGAACAAAATGGAGCCAAGCAAACATGGATCGAAAATCCCCACCTGCCATAGTTTAGCTGTACAACCCAAGGAATAAATTAGTCTCTCCAAGCCACATTATTAAGTGGCAACAGAGAGAGCCTCCACACAAGACTGATGCTGTGAATTGAGCTGAGAAAATTCTAAATCACTGCTGGCAGAATAGTAGCTTGCTGTGGTGAATGGTGGCTTCCAGCTGCCTGAATAATCCATCAAGAGCAGCAATTTGATAGAACTACTTCTCTGTCTAGAGGCTTCAGTTGCTCCCTGTTTACCAAGATCAGAGTTAAGATGTGCACCATGGCATCTTCCTTGGTCTGGCTTGCAGCTTTCTAATTTTATCCTTTGTTCTGATACCATACACCCCAGTCAGAACAACGGTTTACATTTCCCTGTGAATATAGCAAGCAATTTCTCCCACTCCACACTCTTCTCGATGGGGTAGAGTGTGTGGGCTCCTCATTCTTTTGTTTCTCTAGCCCCCTCCCTATATCTGGGTCATGCTGCATATCCAACTGCAGGTTTCTCTCCTGCCTGCCTCTGCCTGTCTTCAAGTTCCTGGTGGGTAAAGACTATCCCAAAGGAATAGATAAACTATCTGGATAGAATTTCCCTTGAGGACAAAGAAAGTGGTCCAGGGAAGCAGAGCAGAACAAAGTTCAGGAGGCAGGAGGCAGCTGGAAGAGAGAAGCCAGAGAGCAAGAGAAAACTCAGAACATGATGCCAGGCAGCCTGGAACCTCGTTGAAAGAAAACTGGTAGCCCATGGGACTTATATATCCAGTACACAGTGGGTACTCAGTAAGTGCTTCTCAAATAATTCATACTCAGAGCATAAAGTCTAATGAAGTTGACAGAGAGAAAAAATATTTTTAAGTGTAAACCTCAGCCAGTGGTGTGTGTGGAATGGGGTACATAGGAAGAATGTTTTGTTGTTTTCTTAGAATTTTGTCTTATGGCTACAGACTAGCTCTGGTAATGAAGCAGTTGGAACAGAGGTACCTATTGTTTGGCGCTGGTTTGAACGGTCAATGACCTAGGGCTGATCTCCCCCTGCTGGAAGTGAGCAGCATGTGCAAGACAGGTAGATGGCTCAAGAGGCAGACAACACACAGAATGCAAAGACAATAAATAACAGGTCGACGTTGGGAACACAGAGGAATCAAGACACTAGAGCTGGTTGTCTCCTGCCAGCTCCTAGTCACTTAAGAGCAGGAGTAGAGAGAGTAGGTGACAGGAACAACAGGAAGGTGTTCAGAGGCCAGCTGTGATGCTTTTGGCCAAAACATTTAGGTTTTATGATTCGGGTTGCTCGGCTGTCAAGAGGCTACAGTGAAAGAGATTCGATGTCACAGAGTCCAGGAGGGCTTCAGGTACTGTCTGGCAGGAGGGTAGACTAAATTCCATCTCATTCTCTGACGAGACTCACCCTGCCCTTCCTAGGGATTCCCTTTTGGCCTCTCACCTGTGTTTTAAAATGGCATCCTCACTGGTGTATCTGTACAGACCTGGAAGAAAATGGGGCAACAGCTAAATGAAGAGCCCAACATCTTCCTAGAGATAGAAGTTCCTGTGGTATTCTGGCTAGACCCAGGGAGACCTATATACACGGGCTCTCCTCTCTTACCTGGGCCCAGGTGAACCCCAGCTTTGCGCCGTCTATAGACACACACAGCAATGCCTAGTAGCAGCACCCAGAGCAGGACAGCACAACTGGCGATGACTTCTGGTCGTCTTAATGTGGCCCTCAGCTGATCCAGGGTCCAGGAAGCATGTTTACTGGGGTCTCTGGCTGACTGCTCCATGGCCTGCTCTGTATGGGATGTGGAGCTCAGAGAGAGGGCCAATGGGACAGTAAGGGACCAACAGACAAGGGGGAGGTGAAAGTGTAAAGGAACAGGGAGACAGGAGGATGACATGGGGGCTGAAGGGTATGGATAGGACCTTTCTCTCACCTAAAAGGAGGCAGACAGGGCTACTGGGCTCTCCAGCCCCAGCACCAGTGACTGCAGCCACTTGCACACAGTAGGAGCCTGGCACACGTGTGGAGATCTCCAGCTGGGTCTGTTCACCCACTACAGTCCAGTT